TTTCTTATAAGCTAGATATAGTTTGACCCCCTCCCCCTCCCTGCAATCGCATCGATCTGGCTACAGTGCCCTTAATGTACATAAGTTTTGTACTCCTGCGTGCATATATGGTGCCTTTCTTATAAGCTAGATATAGTTTGACCCCCCTCCCCCCTCCCACGCCGTCCTCCTCCTGGCTTGCTAGATGGTCGTTCTTAACGTATACGACGTATTGAATATGGCTTAATTGTTTTAGTGTCGAGTAGCACTTTCATCGGTGTTGTTTGATCGTATAAAGCGAACTCTAAGACCTATTATCGTGTACATATACCTGCTTCTAATTCCAGTCGAGATGCCAACAAGGACTTTAAATACTCTGGTTTATGCTCATTCTTCATAGATTTCTGTGCCATAGAGCTATGCTGCAAATAGAAAATTGGTTTCTATTTTATGGCCCCTAGCATATCCCTTACGTACAACAATGGAGCGTTGCATTGCATATTGTTTCAGATTGAGTACACTCCATGCACTAAAGTTTGCAAATTCAATTTCGAAGTTCAAACACTCGAAAGGTAGGGGGGTGGTAAGTCAATGTCATTCGACGATCGTCCATGGGGTAGACAGATGACAGCATCGTATTCTAAATTTAATGTTGTGTCAGGCCTATCAATTCTCGGTTTTGCTTTACCATTGTATTGAAGAAATGTGTATACTTGCAAGTGCTGATAATATATACAGGCTGTGTGAAGATCATGATCATTGTCTGTAAAATCTCTTTCTTTGCTACCTCAACAGCATCGATGTTATCTCTGTGTAGATATTGTAAGTCTGTCACGACTGTCGCACTACTAGTCTAAGCGCTAAGCGTACTACAGAAGCCTTGTACAGCCATACCAATTATTCGTTGATAGTCTGGGGCTAATAATAACGCTGCAAGTAATACAGTACAGTCTACACCAATGCAGAATTTCCAGGGATGCATGCTTTTTACAGCAAGCTTTGTGAGTTCTTCATTTATAACAGTCTGTACACTCTGCTCAGTACCGTGCTCACGGAATAACACTCTAACGCCTATCGGCGACTAGTTTGTCGCAACCTTACACTACATAATCTGAATCATATCCAATCACGAAACTAGCAACTTACTCTCGTTGCAGCGCCACTGATTCTTGCTCGGCTTACATAGGGGCCGTAAACTCTATATTGTTATCAGTACAAAGTAGCATCAACATTTTCGCCGCTAGTTGTATATTATTTGCCCCTAACACCTACCACACCATTGCACTCACATACGTCATCAAAATCCGTTTTGCCAGTATTTCCCTCTTTGAATGCATGCACTCGCTGTAGGTGATGCTTTCGTTCCTGCATGCAATCGTTGTTTGCTAGTTTATCGGCAACTCTATAACCATCGAACACAAGCATCACAGTACAATTTCTATTGTCTGCACTCACAAGGTTTTAGGGTTTTTAGATTGTTTTACTACCTTCGTTTTCAGTTGCCCTCCTTGTACTAAAGATTTCTGTAAACTGTCCATAAACGCGAAGTTAAAGATGACGTTAGTCTCCATAAACAAAAACATAGCTACAAAGTGTTTGATCTTGCAACCATTTTCCGGTCCAACAATATCATGGCCAATTGCAAGCCCCGATCACTGCTACCCTTGTGTCACGCGTCCAGACACACAATTTCCCCTGTAGAAAACACTTTTCAGTGTTCCTGACACCGCGTATATACAGTTTCTGAACATTCCGTGTCTTAGCGTACTGGAACCAATCAATGAAGTTGGACCTGTAAGAATACACCGGTAACTTGCATTCGAATATATTTATAAATGTTCAGCTAGTACAATAACAATCATCAATCATTATCATAAGTACACACAACTTAGTTTAAAAATGCAAGCTACGTTAGTTTAATTTTTACGCATTCATTAATTCCTTACAGTCTCGCACGTTTATGAAGTTTTGGATCATTTTAAGGATACACTTTTTGGTGCGAATGATATGGATCTCTCTTATAATCCTGGCATTGCAATGTTCATAAATGGTTTCGGTCATGTCTTACTCAGGGAAGTTGTGATGTGCCTGTATGTATGAGTTCAAGACTTATGTTGTACTCTTATGTCATTCAGTATTAGGTCCAGTAAGCATTTCCGATGTTGGCGCCATACTCTTATTATATAAGGGTAGAGACAGAAGTTGTTCTCCATTGTTTATAATGTCTGGAGAAGGTTCTTCACTGTTTGTAAGTAGATGAGATCATTTTATCACTTAACGAATAGGTGACAAGATACAATTTTTTATCCATCAGGGGTTGCAGTAACCAGGACAGTCTTTCCGGTATCTCGAGTATTTTTAGTAACCTCGTATTGTATTCCATTTCATAATAAAGATTTGAAGTAAGTCGAGGGATTCACAAAACGCATCGAATGTTAGCCATACCGGGCTAT